TCTTCAAAATGTCATATGAGCTGTTACAAAATCTCAGGCTCCACAAACCAAAAACTAATAATGGCTTTTAACATATGTCAGCGACAGCAATAAACTAATGCAAGAAACGGAAATATGGAAGGAAGTTTTCTGAGGATGCAGCATTGATCCACCCAAACAATACTCAGTATTGCCAGTATTCCACTATAAGGGATAATTCCAGATGATCCCAGCTAACGAAGAGAAACTGGAATGAGACAGAAGGGCATTCATGGAACATTATCATTAAACTCTGCATGCAAGGAGTTCTGTATTAAACACAATGGCCCAAACTGAGAACTGGTATGACTGGGTGGCACGCCTATTGAAGCCAAAGGACTTGATTCTCCACTTACTGGCTCCTTCTGTAGTCATTTGCACTTGTCCAAAGTGAGGGCCAAAGGGGTGTAAAACATTGCCAAATCAGAATTCTCCACTCACACAGGTGCTGAAATTTCATGCCATTTTCTGCAAGTGTAAATGACAACACTGGGTGGGGAGAGTAAGGCAGTGGAGAATCAGGCTCAATATATTGTCTCTTCTCATTTTGCCTCCTCTACCCGGGACATCCTCCCTGAACCGATGTGCCACCCAATCTTGCCTTCAAATCCTTACTTAAAACCTACTTCTTTTGGTCAACTCATTTCACCACTAGCAAATCTAACTTACCTATCATGTTCATCACCATGATTTCTAAGTTCCTTCATACCCGTTGACATTCTCCCCAGATTTTAGTTTATTTACATTTATAAAACGTCTATATATCTTACTCTTCCTTTAATTAAAAAAAAATGAGAAAACTTTTACTGCTCACTCACACAGGATATTGTTAATAATAATTATTGCTGTAGCACAAAAAGCACCCAGTCAGGTTCCCATTGTGCTAGATATTGTATGTACCTATAAGAAATACAGTCCCTGCCACAAGGAACTCACAATCTAAACATATGACAAGAGAGAACAGTTGGAGATAAATATGCCTCCATCTGTTTGAATGTTATCTATGATTTTAACCACTCTGAGGCAGGGAATTCATTGTCTTACTGTCTGTAAAGCATCTGGGATACAGTTGGTGCAATGCAAATAATAATACAAAGGAACTTATTCTCCTCTAAATTGATGTGTAAAATTCCTTCCCAAAGTACTGAGGCAAAAATACACCCTATAATACCCATGGTAACCATGCACATTATACTCGTCACAGCGCATACTGATTCAAATCAATATATCAAACAATATTCTTTGACATGCCTGGATTACTTTACAAGTGTAGATTTCCCCTTCACCCGTGTCCAATAAATAGAGGATAGATGTGGTTAAGGGTCACGTTAGCATGTAAAAATAGCAGTGTGGATGTTGCAGCTCTGATGAAGAGTGGGGCTAGTCACCAGCACCCCAACGGTTGGGTGGGCTTGAGAGCCTAAGCTGCTGCCCAAGCTGCAACGTCCACACTAATATTTTTAGCAGCTAGCCTGAGTCTACTCAGTCTGGAAGACTTGATCCCAGCTGGAGTGCAGACATACCCGAAGTCTCCACAAGGCCGGCGATGCTCTGTTTAAGCCAGTGTGACATGCTGACAACTATCTCCATAGGCTACTTCTTTAGATTAAATATGCAGGCAGTTGTAGACTGCATTGAAAAACTTTGCAAGCTGCTCTTTGGCTGCTTATCTGATTCATTAGGTGAGGATGGCACTCCTAAAAAGAGAGAGCACTTTGGACCTTTAGCAACTCTGTCCTCTCACAACAAAACCATCTCCTCCCATCCCATCACCCATCCATCCCTATCCTCTTACTACCCCAATTCAAATAAAATATACTTTGTCATCTTACGATGTATGAGAGAGAGAGACAGAGAAACTCTGAATGCATGTCAGCAGCATCCAGCATTGGCCCAAGACAAGGCCTCACAGCTTATTGAGTGTTTGATCCCTCTGTGTCCATTCCTGATGGGCAGCTGGCTGCTATACTGAGCAGTGGTACTGCTGCCATCTTTCTCTGCCCTCCCTCCCGAGCACATTTTTCTTCCTCTGAGGGAGCGTTTGTGTTGCACTCCTTGAGATCTTGGATGGTGAAGTATCTCTGGATTTTAATCTCTAGCATGATGGAGCCAAAAACCACCTTCCCCTCCTTCTTCTTGCCAACTCCTTCCTTTCCCAACAGCAGCCCTCCCTCAGCCACCTCCCTATACAATCCTCCCATACCAATACCAACCCTTCCACACCCCCTCCCAACACAAGCCCTGCCCCTGTCATTCCAGCACCACCCCTCTCCAACCCTTCCCCTGCCATCCCAACACCAGCCTCCCCCACCCCTCCCAGCACCAAACCTCCCCTTCCCCCTCCCATCCCAACACCACCCCTCCCCCACCTATCCCAACACCACCCCTCCCCCTGCCATCCCAACACCAGCCTCCCTCACCTATCCCAGCACCAAACCTCCCCTTCCCCCTCCCATCCCAACACCACCCCTCTCCAACCCCTCCCCCTGCCATCCCAACACCAGCCTCCCCCACCTATCCCAGCACCAAACCTCCCCTTCCCCCTCCCATCCCAACACCACCCCTCCCCCACCTATCCCAACACCACCCCTCCCCCTGCCATCCCAACACCAGCCTCCCCCACCTCTCCCAACCCTCCCTCACCTATCCCAGCACCAAACCTCCCCTTCCCCCTCCCATCCCATCCCAACACCACCCCTCCCCCACCTATCCCAACACCACCCCTCCCCCTGCCATCCCAACACCAGCCTCCCTCACCTATCCCAGCACCAAACCTCCCCTTCCCCCTCCCATCCCAACACCACCCCTCTCCAACCCCTCCCCCCTGCCATCCCAACACCAGCCTCCCCCCACCTCTCCCAACCCTCCCCCACCTCTCCCAGCACCAAACCTCCCCTTCCCCCTCCCATCCCAACACCACCCCTCCCCCACCTATCCCAACACCACCCCTCCCCCTGCCATCCCAACACCAGCCTCCCCCACCTCTCCCAGCACCAAACCTCCCCTTCCCCCTCCCATCCCAACACCACCCCTCTCCAACCCCTCCCCCTGCCATCCCAACACCAGCCTCCCCCACCTCTCCCAGCACCAAACCTCCCCTTCCCCCTCCCATCCCAACACCACCCCTCCCCCCACCTATCCCAACACCACCCCTCCCCCCCCCCCCCTGCCATCCCAACACCAGCCTCCCCCACCTCTCCCAACCCTCCCTCACCTATCCCAACACCACCCCTCCCCCTGCCATCCCAACACCAGCCTCCCTCACCTATCCCAGCACCAAACCTCCCCTTCCCCCTCCCATCCCAACACCACCCCCCCTCTCCAACCCCTTCCCCTGCCATCCCAACACCAGCCTCCCCCCACCCCTCCCCCAACCCTCCCCCACCTATCCCAGCACCAAACCTCCCCTTCCCCCCTCCCATCCCAACACCACCCCCTCCCCCACCTATCCCAACACCACCCCTCCCCCTGCCATCCCAACACCAGCCTCCCTCACCTATCCCAGCACCAAACCTCCCCTTCCCCCTCCCATCCCAACACCACCCCTCTCCAACCCCTCCCCCTGCCATCCCAACACCAGCCTCCCCCACCTATCCCAGCACCAAACCTCCCCTTCCCCCTCCCATCCCAACACCACCCCTCCCCCACCTATCCCAACACCACCCCTCCCCCTGCCATCCCAACACCAGCCTCCCCCCACCTCTCCCAACCCTCCCTCACCTATCCCAGCACCAAACCTCCCCTTCCCCCTCCCATCCCATCCCAACACCACCCCTCCCCCTGCCATCCCAACACCAGCCTCCCTCACCTATCCCAGCACCAAACCTCCCCTTCCCCCTCCCATCCCAACACCACCCCTCTCCAACCCCTCCCCCTGCCATCCCAACACCAGCCTCCCCCACCTCTCCCAACCCTCCCCCACCTCTCCCAGCACCAAACCTCCCCCTTCCCCCTCCCATCCCAACACCACCCCTCCCCCACCTATCCCAACACCACCCCTCCCCCTGCCATCCCAACACCAGCCTCCCCCCACCTCTCCCAGCACCAAACCTCCCCTTCCCCCTCCCATCCCAACACCACCCCCCCCCCACCTATCCCAACACCACCCCTCCCCCTGCCATCCCAACACCAGCCTCCCCCCACCTCTCCCAGCACCAAACCTCCCCTTCCCCCTCCCATCCCAACACCACCCCTCCCCCACCTATCCCAACACCACCCCTCCCCCCCCCTGCCATCCCAACACCAGCCTCCCTCACCTATCCCAGCACCAAACCTCCCCTTCCCCCTCCCATCCCAACACCACCCCTCTCCAACCCCTCCCCCTGCCATCCCAACACCAGCCTCCCCCACCTATCCCAGCACCAAACCTCCCCTTCCCCCCTCCCATCCCAACACCACCCCTCCCCCCACCTATCCCAACACCACCCCTCCCCCTGCCATCCCAACACCAGCCTCCCCCACCTCTCCCAACCCTCCCTCACCTATCCCAGCACCAAACCTCCCCTTCCCCCTCCCATCCCATCCCAACACCACCCCTCCCCCACCTATCCCAACACCACCCCTCCCCCTGCCATCCCAACACCAGCCTCCCTCACCTATCCCAGCACCAAACCTCCCCTTCCCCCTCCCATCCCAACACCACCCCTCTCCAACCCCTCCCCCTGCCATCCCAACACCAGCCTCCCCCACCTCTCCCAACCCTCCCCCCACCTCTCCCCCCACCGCCCCCTCCCCTTCCCCCTCCCATCCCAACACCACCCCTCTCCAACCCCTCCCCCTGCCGTCCCAACCCCGCCCCTCCCCCCACCTCTCCCAACCCTCCCCCACCTCTCCCCGCACCGCCCCTCCCCGCCTCACCTCCGTCTCGCCTCTTTCCGCGGTTCTCCCGAGCCCGCGCCAGGCCCCGCCCCTTCCAGCAGCTGCATGACGATTGACCGGAGCGCGGCACGTGACCCGGAAGCGGGCCCGCCTCCGCGCCCGGGGCGGTTGTGCGGCGTGAGCGTGACGGGAGGGGGCGGCGCGCGGCCGGAAGTGCCCCGCGGCGGGAGCGCGCAGCGGAACCCCAATGCACGGGAGCCCCTCTGGGAGGGGAGCCGCCCCGAGCCGCGGCGGAGCGGGGCCAGGAGCCGGGTGTCCGCCCCAGGTAAGGGGCGGGTCAGGACTGTCCCCCCGCCCCTGGGACCGAGCCGGGGCTTCCCAGGGGTCCGGGACCCTGTCACTCCTGAGCGGCTGGGAGCCCCGGACCCCGCGGCTTCCCCCTGCGAGGGATGGGGGGACCCCCCCCACTTGCCGGGTCTGGCCCAGGCCCCCCTCTCCAGTGGGGTGGGGTCTCTTGGTCCAGCTCCCTCTCACACGGAGCTTCTGAGCCCGCCACCGCCTCTCGCTGGCTGCCCGCAGGAGGGGGTCGCCCCTTGCCCCCGGGGGGGCTGGCTTTCCCTGCCGGCAGGCTGCCCCGGCTGTGCGCTGGGGTCCGGGCCCATGGCGGACCCCCCTCAGCAGAGCGGGGGTCCCTGGCTGGGAGGAGTATTGCGGCAGCCTGGTGTGTGGGAGTGCGGGGCTGCGCCCCGCCCAGCCAGGGGGAGTTGCGGGGAGGGGTTGGCTGTAGGTCAGGGGGTGCTTCAGGAGACTCGCAGCTTCCTAGAGTCCAGCGCCAGAAGGGACCATCGTGGTCATCTATCTCCTGTATATCGCAGGCCACCTTTGGAGAAGTCCTTGGCTGGAAATCCCTCCCCTGGCAGTTGTGTTTGGGGATGTCCCTGTTCTTCGGGAATGTGGGGAGGACCTTTGGACATGTATCGGAGGTTACCCCCCCCTCTCGGTTTAATTCAGAGAACTTGTATCCCTTGGGTCTGTATGAAATTCAGAATTTGGGGCGAGGTTGTCTTGCTGCCATATGTTTATGAATGCTACACTTGCTTTGATAAGTGATGCTGCTTCTTTTGAGTCCCCTGGGCATTGTGGATTGTGTTTTAGGCTGCCACTCCCATGTGTGAAGAGGTCTTTATTTTTTCCAAACTACTGTGGGTAGGCATGAGAAAACCACTCAGAAAACTGGGCAAGATGATGTGGGAGTTTGAGATGGTATCGTCCTTACCTGAGTTGGACATCACCTGAAGGACCTTGTCTTACATGGCTGGGTTCTCTTTACCTGTTGCAGATCTATAAAGATGCTTTCTTTCTCCCTGAAACCTTACTGGTATAGATGTTGAAAGAGGAAAAGGCAGTGCCCAAATGTAGTGTTACTTTAGAAGGGGAAGGTGAGATGTGGGGCAAACTAACCAGCCAAATTATGCAATTTAAGGGGGAGGTTAGGCTAGATTTTACCATTTTTCCAAGGGGTGGGACCTGAGGTCCTGTGAGGCCACTTGCAAGAATTAAAACAGATATAGTCAAGCCCTGCTTCATAGGCACCGACTCTGTGGGTGCTCTGGGGCTGGAGCACCCATGGGGGAAAAATGGTGGTTGCTGAACACCCCCCACCCCCAGCACCTCCCACCCACCAGCAGGCCCTGCGGATCAGCACCTCCCCACACCTCCCCCCTGCTGCAATTCACTGGGGGAGTAGTGAGGATGCAGTGCACTCTGAGGAGGGGGTAGAACTGGGCGGGAAGAGGCGGGGCGGGGTGGACTGGGGGCAATAAAAGGTGGGGTGGGGCGAGGCCTTGGGGGAAGGGGTGGGGGCAGGGTCTGGGATAGAGCCAGGGGTCAAGCACCCCCTGGAACTTTGGAAAGTTGGCATCTGTGCCCTGCTTCCTTTTTGGGTCATGTATGTTTGGGTGGTGGAAGGGAGGCATACAGATTCAACAAGTGTTCAGGACCATCCCTGCTTTTTCTAATTTAAAGCCCAGATTTTAGATCCTTACTGCAAATATGCACAAACGTAGCATGGGGGGGGGTTAATAAAAACCTTTGAAATATTTAATATTTTCTGCTCCTTAAGCATCTGCTACTGTGAGAAAGACCTGATTTTTTTTTCCCCCTTCACGAGAAGATTGGGAAGTTGTGTGACTAGTATTCTGAAATTTTGGTGGTTGACTGTATTCAGAATGCACACTGTCTGATGTTCTCTTAAATGTTCAACATATCAGTAGTTAAAGCTGTAGGAGGGACTAAGTGGTGCAGACTCGATTGTAATTGTAGATATTTCTGTAGATGGATTGACTGCCCGGCTTTGCTGATAAATGAGGCCATATCTACATTACCGGCTAAATGGGCATTACTGCGATCAGTGCAGTGGTGTCGATTTAGTGGGTCTGGTGAAGACAAGCTAAGTCGATGGGAGAGCGCTCTCCTGTAGATGTCTGTACGCCACTTCCCTGAGAGGCAGAAGCTACCTTGATGGGAGAGTGTCTCCCATCAGTATAGGTCAACTTACAGCAGTGTCTACATTGTGCTAAATTACATGGACTTCAGTTATGTAATTTATGTAAGTGAACTAGCTGGGGTGAATTTGATTTAAATCATGATTTAAATCACTAGTCAGGAACACTCGATTTAATCCTGGATTTCTACATAAAAGTGCTTTCTTGTTGGTTGTTATAACCTTAATACATATTCTTCACAACTCAGAGATAGATGTAGGTTTCATTTTTAGAAGGTACACACTATACATTTTTAAAGTGATTTCTTTAGAAAACTTTTCAGATTAGTTTTACAGCTATATCAGAAAATGAATGATTGTTTGGTAATTGAAGCAGTTATTTATGAAGTCATTGGGAGATGAACTATCGCCAGTTCAACAGGTTAATCATTAATATTTGGAGGATTTTCTTGCCATGCTGTATTAGGAGGAGAACATCACCAGACAGACATTTAAACTGTTTTATTTCACTAAAACAACAACGTTATGTATTCTGGATTTTTTTTCTTCAATAGCAAACATATAATATTTTAACAAAACAAGCGTATGAATTTTTGAATTTAGTTAAACATAGAAGTTTTTTAAAATCAGGTTTGTTTTTGTTTAAATTGTTTTTAACTAAAATAGTTAAATGAAATATTAAAAAAAAAATAGACTATGTCAGCCTGGTCAACATGAGAAACTTTAAATATTGGATTCTGCAGCTAACTCAGTCATCTTCACCTTCATTTTCCTGTTCATAATCTGGAAAAGGAAAACAAGCTTTCCTGCTTTTTCAGGTCTCAAATGATTTCTCAATTTTGAATGAATTAATCCAAAGGAAGAAAATATTTTTTCTACACCGGCAGAAGAAGCTACTGCTGTTAAAAGTGAGATTATCACTTCAACAGTGTCTGAATCCAAGTGCTTAAGTGACTTCCACCAGTTCACTGGTGTGACTTTCTTTAAAACATCATCAGCACACATATATTTTTGAATGGTTCTTATTCCCAAACTGGGTCTCTTTTACGGCCTTCTGCCATTATAGGTTTTCCCTTCTAGTGAGAGAATGGTATTGGTAGATCTCAAATCAATGAAGGCTACACTCAGAAAGACCTCAAGACTTCTGCAATATGCTGCTCAAACAGTTTCACTTTTGTTTCTACTGCCTGTCCCTACCTTCTCACATTTATCTCCAGACTTCTTCTCCTTGTCCAGATCTATTCCGCCCCCAACAATCTTCTATTCATTGAACTTTTTGAAACTTTGCATTTTTAAAGAGAGGTAAGGGATTGACTCTGTGTACACAAATTTGCAGAGGGACAATAGGGTTGAGGTCTGTTATTTCTCACCTCTATATATTCTTTCTTTCTTTAAAAACATTTTTGCTGTTAACAAGCATGTTATCTCTAGAGACACAAATCCACAGTTTGAGAACTGCAGAACTAAGCATCTCTGATGGTATCTTCTAAACTGAGCACTGAGTCCCATTGGGTAGATAGAAAGATTAACCTAAATAATCTATACAGAAGCCTCTGCAACCTCATAAGATTGGGTCTCTAATCCACGAGCTATTGGAACTCGTTTACAAAACTTTTCTTAAACATTACATGAATATATTGTCTCATACTATAGAATTAAAATTTACAATCCCTATTCCATGATGGGTTTCAGAGGAACAGTCGTGTTAGTCTGTATTCGCAAAAAGAAAAGGAGTACTTGTGGCACCTTAGAGACTAACCAATTTATTTGAGCATGAGCTTTTGTGAGCTACAGCTCACTTCATCAGATGTTTACCGTGGAAACTGCAGCAGACTTTATATACACACAGAGAATATGAAACAATACCTCCTCCCACCCCACTGTCCTGCTGGTAATAGCTTATCTAAAGTGATCAACAGGTGGGCCATTTTCAGCACAAATCCAGGTTTTCTCACCCTCCACCCCCCCACACAAATTCACTCTCCAGCTGGTGCTAGCCCATCCAAAGTGACAACTCTTTACATAATCAAGTCGGGCTATTTCCTGCATAGATCCAGGTTTTCTCACATCCCCCCCACCCCCATACACACACAAACTCACTCTCCTGCTGGTAATAGCTCATCTAAACTGACCACTCTCCAAGTTTAAATCCAAGTTAAACCAGAACATCTGGGGGGGGGTAGGAAAAACAAGAGGAAACAGGCTACCTTGCATAATGACTTAGCCACTCCCAGTCTCTATTTAAGCCTAAATTAATAGTATCCAATTTGCAAATGAATTCCAATTCAGCAGTTTCTCGCTGGAGTCTGGATTTGAAGTTTTTTGTTTTAAGATAGCGACCTTCATGTCTGTGATTCGTGACCAGAGAGATTGAAGTGTTCTCCGACTGGTTTATGAATGTTATAATTCTTGACATCTGATTTGTGTCCATTTATTCTTTTACGAGAGACTGTCCCGCTTGACCAATGTACATGGCAGAGGGCATTGCTGCACATGATGGCATATATCACATTGTGGATGTCAGGTGAACAGCCTCTGATAGTGTGCTGATGTTATTAGGCCCTGTGATGGTGTCCCCTGAATAGATATGTGCACAATTGGCAACGGGCTTTGTTGCAAGGATAAGTTCCTGGTTAGTGGTTCTGTTGTTGGTATGTGGTTGTTGGTGAGTATTTGCTTCAGGTTGCGGGTGTCTGTAGGCAGGACTGGCCTGTCTCCAAGACTTGTGAGTGTTGGTCATCCTTTAGATAGGTTGTAGATCCTTAAAATGCTTGGAGGGGTTTTAGTTGGGGGCTAAGGTGACGCTATGCTCTGTTATTTTC